CGCAGCGGTAGCTCCCGGCCGTGTTGGTGCAGAGCTGCTCACAGCCATGGCCCTGCCCGGCACACTCATCCACGTCTGAAACCACAGGTCGGGCTCGGTGAGGACAGGGGGGCTGGGGACGTGCTTGCTGGGGGTGCAGAGGGCTCAGCCCCACCAGCAGGGTCCTGCTCCCCCCACTACAGCCGTGGGGGTGCGGTGGGACCCCCGACCTCCTGGCGTCTGTGCTGGGCACAGCTCTGGGTGCTCCCAGCACTGCATTTTTTTACGAGTGCCTGGGACATCCTTGCCGCTTGCACACGGATGGAGTAAACCCGGGTGAACCCCGAGGGGGGGTCTGGCCTCCTCCCCTTTGCCCCCTCCCTCCACAGAAGGGCCCGAAACCAAAGCTGTGGTCAGAAATGTCCCAGCTCTGCTCGGGCGGGCGCAGCAGCGCTCAGCTCTTATCCTGGATTTATGGCCAGGGTTTTGGTTCCAGCCGGCCGTGGTGAGGAGCTATCAGCCTTTCAAGTGTGTACAAAACCCAGTAACCTCTCCTCACACGGGGGAGTTATTAAAGCTGTTCCCACAAAGCAAAATGAGCTGAACCTGGGTGAATCTGTTTTAAGCAATGGGAAAAGAAAAAAAATCCTCTCCTTTCCCCCCTGCGCTGGAGCCGGAGCTGTCAGCGATGTGCTCAGCCCTGCCTGGCCCAGCCTGGGTCAATGCCACACGCTCCTCCTCTGCCCTACAGGGGGTGGAGAGCCAGGAAACGCCGTGGCAGGGGTTTTGCACCATGCTGCCAGAATTCCCCATGCTCTGGCAAACCCGCCTGGGCTGCTCTCGTGCTGGAGAGGAGCTCGGTGCGTAGGGATTGCCAGGCTCCCTCTCAGCCTCTGGATAGTTTCGGTGTATGGTTTTAGTCTCTGCAGTAAACGGGTGTCTTAGTTTACAGCAGGAGTTTACAAAGCCTGGGAGATGGGTCATTCCAGATACACGGTCTCCAGCTGACCCCACGAGGGTAACAGCTGCTCTGCAGAAAGCCTTTTGCTGGCTGCCTGGTCACAGCACAGCCTCAGTTCACACCGAGCCAGCGTGGAGCAGCAGCAGAGGGAAAACGTGGATGCCAGGGCTGCTCACAAGGGCTGGGAGCACCAGGGCAGCCAAAGGGAGGTCAGAGCTCCCCTGGGAGCCATGCTTCTCATCCTTCCTGCCCAGACCATCAGGCACTACTGCCCTGGAGTGACGTGTTGGGGTGGGTGTGTGGAGGGGTAATGCTCTGGTTCCCCTCCGTGGTCTGAGCAGCTCCAGGCGTGTGCCAAGGCCTGGTGAGGAGCCACGGTGCTGCTCCCTGTCCCTCCCCAAGGGGGTCGGTCTGTGGGCAGAGCCCCACGGCAGCCCTGCAGCTCCCTGGAGGAGGTCTCCTGGCAGCAGCAGGGCAGCCCTGGGAGCAGGCAGGGTGCCCAGTGCAGGCAGGGTGCCCAGTACCTGTCTGGCAGGCTGGCCCCGTCCAGCCGGGCGGGCAGGCGCATCTGCCGGGGAAGACGCAGCTCCCGCCGTTCTGGCACGGCACCCAGCACAGAGCTGTGGGACCAAACAGGAGTGCAGGGTCACCAGGCAGCTCTGGGGGTCCCCAGCTCCCTCCCGGCTCAATGTGGATGTGTGTACACACACGGCACACACACACCCCCTCCCCAAAACACACACCAACACCAGCCCGGGCCAGGACGCTGCCCCAGCACGGTGGGGTCGAGCTGAGCTGGGGGCACAGGACTGGGAAGGGAGGAAGAGGACCTTGGTTTTACAGCCTTGGAGAGGCCAAGGCACCTGCAGGCAGCACAGCCAGGAGGGATGGGGCTGAGGGGCAGCAGCAGACCCTGGGAAGCTCATCTGGGGACCAACCAGCTGCTGTTGTTTCGCATCTGGTTTGTGCTGTACATCACGATTGCCTCCTGAAAGCATTTCTCTTCCATTAGTGCTGATTTATATGGAAACTACTTACCCATTTTATTTATCCCCTGGTAACTATAAAGTTAATAAGCGATCCCAGAGGAAAAAGGCCTGTGAGGCAGCCGAGAAAGGCTGGGAATTAATCACAAATTGAACCACATTTGGTTGTGACGCTGAAAATTTAAATGCTTTCCTACAGGGAGAATCCTGATGGGCAGAGTGCCCGTAAATGAGCGAGCTGGCTGCTGGGGCCTCACCCAGGACCTGAGCTACTGGGCCTGGGGGCCTGAGGGAAGGACGAGTGCTGGCATGGGGTGGCACAGCAGCCTCTTACCTGTGTTGCAGCCAGGCGTGTGGCTGTTGGCTCTGCTCCCCCCCGGGCAGCAGGAGCCCATGGGCAGCTGCTTGTAGGCCTGCCGGTAGGCAACTCGGTAGAGGGTCCTGCAAGGCAAGGATGGGGCTGAGCTGGGGGGCTGAGAATCCACTCCAAAACCCCCCATCCTGCTCCCACCCCAGCGGGTCAGACCTGGGAGCCTCTGCCCCACGGACTGAGGCGGGACTCCCGGCTCCCGGTCGGTGCCTCTGGGACGGATCCTGCTCCCTCCCAGCGCCCAGGTGCCCAGCACAGGCAGCTGCCCTCACCTGTAGGTGCTGCAGAGGCGGTGGCCCTGGCAGGTGGTGAGGTAGGGCTGGTACACGGGCTGGATGTGGGACTCAGTGTAGGCGCCCACCCGGCTCCGCGGCGTCCCGGCACAGACCCTGCGGCTGCGGAGAGGGGAGCGGGTCAGACACCAGCCAAAAACCAACCCACTGCCTCTCCCCCCGGGGTAAAGGGGCTCTGCTGATTTACACCAGCCCAGAGGTGTAAATCTCTACAGAGGGCTCTTTAAATGGCGGTGGCTAATAAAGCTGGGGAGGGGTCTGGAGCACAGGTCTTGTGAGGAGCAGCTGGGGGTGCTGAGCCTGGAGCAAAGGCGGCTCAGGGGAGACCTTCTGGCTCTGCACAGCTCCTGCCAGGAGCCTGGAGCCAGGGCAGGGTCAGGCTCTCCGCCCAGGAAACAAGCAATAAGACAAGAGGAAATGGCTTCAGGTTGTGCCAGGGGAGGTTTAGGTTGGACATGAGGAAAACTCCTTCCCTGCAAGGTTTGCCCAAGGCTGTGCCAGGCTGCCCAGGACAGGGGTGGAGCCCCCACCCCTGGAGGGGTTTCCAAGCCGTGGAGATGTGGGGTGAGGGACACAGGGCAGTGGGGACCTGGCAGTGCTGGGGGAACAGCTGGGACTTGACCTGAAAGGTCTCTTCCAACCAAATGATTCTGTGATTCTAATTGCCTGATGCCCCAGGAGGTTACCTCAAGCTATTTCAGGGCAGTGACACAAATCTTGAGCACTGTGGGCTGCATGGGCCTATCCTCCCCAGCCCCTGCACAAAGGCACTGACAAGTCCTTGTCCACTCACCCTCACACTGTCCCTCTGTCCCAGGGGAGCCATTAGGGCCCAGATTTAGGGACAATTTACTCAAAGCAGTTCTATTTCCATCCATCACCTCCCTTCCCCTATAATCACTCACTTTCTGGGTGGAGTTTTCCTTTCTGAGACTTTTGCTCTCCAGAAACAGATTCCCCCTGTGGTCACCAAGACATTAATGTTTCCACAGGAAGGATCAAGCTCACTGCAGAAAAGTAGAGGCCAGATGAAAGTTGCCCTCTAGTCTTCCTAAGATAACTGTGATCCAGTCAAAAACATCCTCAAGGTTAACAGCCAAAGTGGTCTTGCTTAAAAAAATCCTTTTTTTCAACATTTTCCAGCCCAAGCAGGTCAGTCCCACTGAGGAACTCGTCGACTTGTCTCAGCCTCCCAGCACAATTAGAAACTAGAATAAAGAGCCTGGGAATTAGCATGGACATCAGATGGCTTCCATTAGCTCCTGAAAACTCCTCTCAGCCTCCCTGATTAAAGCTATAGAAGATGCAATATTTAAATGGCAATTGTTTGCTTTGCAAAAGGAGAACAAAGCTATAGCTGCAGCCCGTGCGTGCGAGCGAGGAATTCAGCCTGTGCTTTCAGTCACCACCAGAATGCAAGAGGTTCAATGCCAGAGGAGAGCATTTCAATGTAAAAACAAACTTTGCAGAAAATGTGAGCTGTTTCTGGGGGCGGGCGTTGAGCTCCTTTTTGGCTGGGGGAGAAACTGGGGCACCCAATTCTGGGTGACCCTGGGGGAGCTGAGCCCTGCCCAGGCTGTGCTGGGGTCCAGGGTGCCGTGTCAGACCTGTTTCCCAGAGAGGGAAAGGGAACTGCTGGAGACACCACTCCTGGGTTTGCAGGACCATGGACCTCAGCACCACAGGGAGCAGAATGCACAGGAGGCAACGACCCCCCCGGGGCTTTCATCCCCACATGGTGCATCCTCTCTGAGCTGGGAGCTGCAGCCTCCTCAGAAGGCTTCTTTGCAAGGCTCGATCCTGTGTGCATAGTTTTGTGCAAGGATGTGCTTGAAAGAGACAATAATAATTCATGAATTACTCAGGGCTTGATTAGGTTTTGACTCTCCTGGATGCAAAGCCCAGAGTGTCTCTGTGTCCCCTGCACGGAGCTGAGCAGAGCCGGGGTGTATTATCCAGGAGGTTTCTGTACTTCAGTGACAAAGCAAACACCAAAGGGCTCCCAGGAGGACCCAGCAGAACCTTCTCCCACCTCCTCTCCAGCCCAGCGAGCTTCCCTCGCCGTGATGCACAGGTGGGCACACCCACAAGATGCTGCCAAAAAAGGGGCTTACCCTGCCCGGGCAAAGCCATCCGCGCTGGTGGTGCTGAGGATGAGGAAGAGTCCCGGGAGGAGGCAGGCGGCGCGGGGCATGTCCTGGGCTCTGCAGCGCGGCCGCTGGGTGGGAAGCGCTGCCTCCTACCGCATGTTCCACCCGCCAGCAGGGAGCCCTGCAACGGAGAGAGGGGGCTGTGAACGCCTGGTGCCTGTCCCCCACCGGTGAGACCCGACAGAGCCCCGGGGACAGGGCCAGGGCCCCCTCCCGGGGGGGCACAGACCCTGGGGAGGGAGCGTGGGCTGGCAACAGGGCAGCGTGACATGCCACAGCACGGGGCAAGAGGGGACACGAGGGACCCCAGAGCCCCTGGCAAGGTGAGTGCTCCTCCAGGCACCGTGTCACCGGAGTGGGAGGGATTTACCCCTGGCCTGGCATGCAGGAGATGCTCTCCTGGCATCAAGGGCCAGCCAGTTGCTTGTCAAGTGGCAGGGAAGGGACCTGGGTCGCTCTGAAATATGCTGCCAGTTCCAGGCAGTGAGGGCAAAACAATGGCTGGTAGTTTCTTAATCCCTACAGTGTTGGAAAGCTGCATTTTTACCAAAATCTGATTTAAAATGTAAGTTCTTGCCAGACAAAAGTGTTGTAAGGTCCATGTGTACCATCTGCAGGGTCAGTACTAACCCAGGCACCAGCAAAGAGGCTTTTAGCAGAGGACAAATAGGAAACGAGGCTGAAGAAGATCAATAACAGTATCTAATTTAAACAAAAGAGTTGGCCTCCGGATGGCAGCAGTTAAAGGAGGAACAAATACAGAAACCCACCTTAAATACATGCCAGTTACAGAAAGAATCAGTCTATCTGCCTAAACCTTGAGAAATGCTGTAAGGGGAGGCAACACAACAAGCCCCATCTTTCTGAAACTGCAAATACAACGAGCTGCAAAGAAATCCCCTAAACCCCCCGGGTGATGTGGGGTGGGATTGGACTGGAGAGTTGCAGGTTCATTCCCAAATGCCTTTGGGATAATTCCTAACTCCAAGCCAAGCTGTTAGGAACAATCATCCCAAACCTGTAGACCCTGCAGGTCTCAAAGCCCTTCTCCAAGGCACTCAGATTCATCTTTTCCTCTGTGCAGGTGAAGAAATTGAGGCACAGAGAGGTGCAGACCCAAATCTGGAGAGAAACCAGCCCGGTGCCCTCCTGCCCCCTGTTATCCAAGGTCTTGTGTGTGTTTCTGTGCAGCGACAGTGCTGAGCTGGCTGAGCAGCCCCTTCCCCTCCTCACCCACCCAGGGACCCCCCAGCCACGTCCTCACCCTGCTCCTACCAGTTATTCCCACGGAGCCACAGCCCAGCAGGGAGCTGTGGGTGCCCAGGCCCATCATAAGCCCCATACAAGCCCAGCTTTGAGGATGTGAGGAGGATTTGGGTGACATAAAGCCTCTAGTCCTCCATTCTCCCCCAGACAGAGCAAACAAATTCATCTTCTAATGATGAATATGTGGTATCTCCACCACCAGGAAATCAAATCTTGGTTGACCTGCCAGCAAGTTTTTAAAAATATAGTGAAGAATCCTTTTTTTTCTCCCCAGTCTTCCTGGAGATGTCCCAGGGACACCAGTGAACAGAGACACTCCCCACTGGCCAGCCAGCCAGCTTTCCCAGGGCTATACTGGGACACATATTTTCTTCACAGTCACAGATCCCCAGACCAGCGACGCTTCTCCAGAAGCCTGTAAATCAAACTCTGCCAACCTTCTCCATCCTCCCACAGGATTCCCGTGACTGCTGTGGGACCTTTCTCTGTGGGGAAGGCAAGAATCACAGGGCACAAGCCTAAAATACAGGCGGTTTGTTTGTTCACTTTGAAATGGAGCAGCACTGCCCTACCTCGAGCGGTCAGAGTATCCCTCTGGGCCATAAAATTATGGTTGCTTCATACCAGAAAAAGTTTCAAAAGTGGAAAATGTGATAGTCTATGCTTGTCTTTTTGATGAGTTTATTGAAATCAGCCTCTTGAAAGACACTGAAGATCTTCCAACCTGTTGCAAGTACCTATTCTCTTATAAAGCACATAACCTAAGGAAAATCTTTTCATGCATAAGAAAAATAAAGAGATTTTTGTCACTGCCTTTCTAGTCTCTCAAATGAAGAGGTGAAGCCCCATGGTCTGGCAAGTGAAACTGTGTGGTTGCATCTGAGCTTTTGCTGTTTCATGGGGAGGAAAGTCTCCTCTGCTTCCCACGTGCTCCTGTGAGGCTGGGGGTCCCTGTCTGCCAGCCAGAAACGTTCCCCTGACTCCCCTGACTTCTTGCCTGACCCGCTGCAGGAACCAACGGGAAAACACAACCCCCCGTGGGGGTGAGCAGTGCTTTGTCCAGCTCTGCCCACGAAACCAAGGCTAAACTCCAGCTGATGACAGCAGCAGGAGCCGGGGGCTGTCTGCAAAGAGGCGCAGGAGAAGCGAGTGCCTGGGGAGGATGCGGCCAGCCTCAGGGGAACACCGCAGGGATGCTCTGCCCAGCCTGGCCCGCTCCTGCAGGTGACACCGCTGCTCCCAGCCCCATGCTGGAGACAAACCCTCCTGGAGAGGGGCAGCAGCAGCAGGGAGATGGATTTCCCCTTACAAACCGTTCTCTACGCAGGGGGGGATGCGGGACCCGCGGAGCACGGGCACGGGGATGCGGGTGTGATGGAGCAGGGCACGGGGACGAGGGCACGACGGGGGTGGGCGCAGGGAGGGGGCACCGCGGGGTGGGACACAAGGAGGGGGACACCGCGGGGGTAGGGCACACGGAGGGGACATCGCGGGGGTTTGGCACCGTGCGGCTGGGCGCAGGGACAGGGGGATCACGGAGCGGG